CAAGTTCAAAAACAAGTAATAAGTACCTGTTTTGATCTGTGATATTAAAGTCTTATAGGAGAAAGGAAGGGAAGGATGTGGGGATAGTAATTGCACAAATAATTTAAAATAACTACTTTTTTTTTGGTGACAGAGTCCCATTTTGTGATGCTCAGTAGAGTGCTGTGGTGTCCATTGTTCACAGCAACCTCAAACTCTTGGGCTCAAGTGATACTCCTGCCTCAGCCTCCTGACAAGTGTCTGCCATAAGGCCTGGGTATTTTCTTTTTAGAGATGGGGTCTCACTGTTGCTCAGGTTGGTCTCGAACTCCTGAGCTCAGACAATCTACCTACCTCGGCCTCCCAGAGTGCTGAGATTACAGGCGTGAGCCATCGCGTCCATCCTGAAATAATTACTTCTGCCTTCACTCGACACTACTGTCATACCGCTTACTACTATTACTACTATGTTCAACATCAAAAAACCAAGCTGTTCCAGATAATTTTGAGGTGGTTCCTGAATGTCCTTAGCAGTGTTAAACCTATTTAAATCCTCGTAATAACATTTCCTTTACACAACATGTAAGACATGTTGATCTCTAAGCAAGCAACTAAAGAAAACTGAAAGGTAACATACCAATTGCTATAGACCGCAAATAAAGTTTCTCAGCATTTTCATATTGGTTCATGTCATAATTATATAAAGAAGCCAGATGTCCCACTGAAAGGGCTACTTCATAATCTTCTTGACCAAGAAGTTGCTCTTTAATCTGAATTGCTTTGATGTGCATTTCTTCAGCTTCCTGAAAGATAATTATGCCAAGTCAATAATTATATCGTATTTTTTCTTATCTCAGTTCTCACTCAGTGAAGAAGATACTTCTAAATGCCAAAGACATCTTATGAATCTCATAAGGTAATAAGATCAGAAAGCATACTGTGTTATTCTGAAAGTTGCCTATGGGAAGCATTATGGCTTTTTGGAAACTATACATAAGCTGATGACAGTAATAGTGTTCTATACCAAAAATAACAAGTGAAAACTTACCAATAAAGCCAGAAGAAGTTAACAAAGAA